GGGGCCAAAGTGATAACAAACTTGAGACACGACATGGCTACTGACCTCTCCTTGACGAAGACATTCGCAGACCCGCAAACCAACACAACCTCTTCTACTCCTTGCATGATCCTGCTCCTAACCCTATTTACAAATAACCTTGGATTCGCTGACAGGTACCATTCTCTGACCCACGTTCGCCTTAGCTTTTGAGTTAAGACGTGACTCAGTTCTACACTCCTCTCTAGCGCTAAACGTCGCATGTCCCTTCCTCCCCGCTCACCCCACAGGAGTCTCAACAGAAGAGGCTGAATTTCTCTTCTCAATATCTGTCCCACGATCGCCTTCGCTGCTGGGTTAAGCCCTGGCTCTATTTCTACAACTAAGAACACGCCTCTCCAGCACTATTCTTCGTCTGTCCCGTCTTCCCCGCTCATCCCATTTGGGATCTTGCCTGAACTTTCGTTCGTTCGTTCGTCTGTACTTCAGATTCACCAAGATTACGGTGGTGAACGCCATCATCCAGGCTGAGAGACTGACATTTATTTACACCAATAATTTTATTGCTCAACAAGATTGGTCGTGATAGTGAAAAATGCATCTTATTGCGAAGCTGAGACAAACATTACATTCTGTAATTCAGTCACAGGAGGTCCTTGACAGCGCTCGGGAAGGATTGCGGGTTTAAGGAATTGGAGCCACCCTCCCTTTCGTTAGATCGAATTTACATCTCGCTTCCCAACGTGTTGTGACCCCTACGAATTTAGCGCTCTCCCCATAAAATAGTATAGAAAATATGCTTCACCATTAATAATAACGCAAGGCAGTTATTATTATACCGTTTCTTTCAACACGGGTTCCATATTAGGAAGAGGGGACCTGTTACACAAAGTATAACCAGACTACACTAAGGGGTGTATTTCTCTCAGCGTTTACTGTATATGCTGAGCTTACTTTAACCTATATTTTAGGGATTTATCATATACTTGTCTGGTAGTGAAAAGGTTACCATGCAGCCTTAATGACCTAGTATAGCCGATTGGCATTGAACCCTATTAACTAACCATAAAATAGCAGTTTCAGCGGGACATGAAACTGAAGTACACCGCCGAGTAGCCCAACCATATCATACCATAGTTTATCCAGGGCACCAAAGTGAATCACAAGCACACTGCCGAGTAGCCTAATCGTATCGTATCTTATAGTTTCTCCGGATTTCCAAAGTGAATCTGTCGAGTAACCTATCAAACTGACAATCATGGGAGAAATGAGTCAAAACAAACAAAACGAACTACCCAAACAATACTACTTGAAATGCAGAAAACTTCATTCATTTTAATGCCCCATAGAGTTATAACCCAGGATAAACCCAGGAAAGTATGACTTCCGTTGAATCCTAGGCCTCTTCCCAGGATGCGATCCACAACAGACGAATAACGCCTTGATATCTGTTTGCTGGTAATTAACTTGGGTATCAGGTGTAAAGAAGTTTGTAGATGAATGGTTCAGAGAACCGACATGTTGATAAATTAGACACATGTGCAACTCTTGGGTATCTTTATTGAGGAACGTTTCGCCACACAGTGGCTTCATCAGTCATACGTAGGAGAAACTTGAAGAACAGGAGGAGAATGAGGTAATCATTTCCTAAAACCTTGAGTCGATGTGTTCAGTCCTCAATTCTTCCACATTGAACAAATGTGACACCCCCTATGACTGCTGCACCTTCCTGCCATACGGTTTAAAAGCTGCTTCTCCGCTCACATGCCGTATTCTACTCAAGATTGATGGATGAACACATCGACTCAAGGTTGAGGGACTGATTACCTCATTCCCCTCCTGTTCAAGTTTCTCCTACGTATGGACTGATGAAGCCACTGTGTGGCGAAACGTTTCCTAAATAAAGATACCCAAGAGTTGCATTTGTAAAGAAGTTCATCACATGTATTTCCCAGCCCGGGAGGGAAGGGATGTCGAGCATTGATCGTTTTAAAAACGCCTAAATTTGTACTACCCGAAATGACGTAAAATTAGGGGATATGATTGACGTGTGCAAATGGAAAACAAGAATAAGGGGGATATAAATAACATGTTGAAAGTATCTAAAAAGGACTCGCAACAGTGGCTGCAAGTTGGGCATATCTAGATTTAGAAATAATATTGGGTAAGTACGAACTCCTGGGAAGCGTTACTGAGGTGAGAGCTTTGAGCATTTCAAATATATGGCGGTCAGGTGTGGTTAGGTTCGAGTTGGACCTGCCTAGCATGTGCCAATAGGCTTATTTTCCCAAGTTTAATGGCCCTCTAACTTGTAAGTCCTTCCACTGGCCTAATGAATAACACTGTCCAGCCATTAGAAGAACCTTCAAGAATTCTGTGCTTACTGATAGGAAGGTTAGCATTTGAATTACAAATACACAGATAACCCGATCCGACATGGACCATTTACAGTCACACTAACAGAAAGGAGAGGAGAGAGTATATATAGGCCAGAAGACAGGGACGAGACAAGAGAGGTAGTAGAGGAAGACGAGTAGTGGTAGCATGGGCAAATCAGTCTGCGGTATCCTTAAAATATTTTTATATTTCAACCTTTATTTCACTGTGCTGTTATATTCGAAAACAAGCGCCAAACCTGTATGCTCGTGTAACTAGTGTGTAGGGATATGGAACGGCAAAGCTACTATGTACCTCACTGGGAAAGTGGGGAGAATGGATCTTCAACTTCCTAACAAATCGAACACAAAGAGTAGTGGTCAACAGAGTTAAATCGGAGGCTGCTATAGTGAAGAGCTCTGTTCCACAAGGCACAGTACTCGCCCCCATGTTATTCCTCATATCAGACATAGACAGAGATATACACCACAGCACCGTATCATCCTTTGCGGATGATACTAGAATCTGCATGAGGCTGTCATCTGCTGAGGACGCGGTTAACCTCCAAAAAGATATAAACAAAGTTTTCCAGTGGGCAACGGAAAACGATATGATCAATGAGGACAAATTCCAACTACTCCGTTATGGGAAAACTGGAGGAGATAATAACTAGAACATTTTATACTACAAACTCGGGCCATACAATAGAGCGGAAAAAAATAATGTAAGGGACCTGGGAGTAGTGATGTCTGAGGATCTCACTTTCAAGGATCACAACAGTGCCACGATCACAAGTGCAAAGAAAATGATAGGATGGATAATGAGAACGTTCAAAACGAGAGATGCCAAGCCAATGATGATCCTTTTCAAATCACTTGTTCTCTCTAGGCTGGAATATTGCTGTACACTAACATCTCCATTCAAAGCAGGTGAAATTGCAGATCTAGAGAGTGTACAGAGATCCTTTACTGCACGTATAAGTTCTGTCAAGCACCTTAACTACTGGGAATGCTTGGAAGCACTTGACTTGTACTCGTTGGAACGCAGGAGAGAGAGATATGTCATAATCTACACTTGGAAAATCCTGGAAGGAATGGTCAGATCACTGACAGTGATAAGGATATGTGTGAAATTCTAAATACCTACTTCCTCTCAGTTTTCACCCAGGAAAATACTAGCGA